GTAATTAGTTAGGTTTCAGTTTATTTAGACATAATGAAGGATCCTCGATAGAGCCTATAAGCGGAATCTCTTATAAATCAGTCCTCCCTACACAGCTAGAATGGGGAAATCTCCTTGAGGCTTCGTGCATCAGATAACAGTTCAAAAAAAGGTGCGTGCAATGATTTTAATGAGCATTCACTGTTCAGTGGAGAAGTTTTCACCTGGGAAAGGGCAGAAAGGCAGGTGAACTGATGGCCAGTGAGAAGAATCACCTCCCTCTCAAAATTTCCTTTTCCATGAGCTTTTCAAGCTGACCCTTTCGTGCCAGCCACCTTTGCAACTGTTCAAGACGAACGGTAAACGTTGCAAGGATCCCAGAAACTTGTATAAAGTAAAGAGGACAAGTAATCGAGGAAAAGATGCGAAACGATTTCTTCGAAAAATGCCACAGTAGCGTAGTTCATGCTGAACTTATCCCCGGTTTGAAGGGGCTCGAGGTTTTTGAGCACCTCATTTAGCGCATATCTTCCATATCGCATACAGAGGGCAGTGAATGTGAGTTTTTAAAGAGGAAGAATTATAGATTCAAGAAAGAAGAAGGTTCAAAGATAGAGTTCCAATATGATAGTGCAAGACTTAGACTCCAGCGATACTGAGATACGCAATTCTTGAATGCTATTTCTGATGTATACAATTGCTTTAGTAGCTTATAGAGTTGTGTAACTAGGATTTTTTTCAATATCTCAAAAGTAAAAGTAAAATAAGGGTTAGAATTAACATGATAGGAAGAATATGACTCACTGTAATGATAAATGGGAAGCTGGTGACGAGTTCCAATAGAAAGTGGGCATTGACGAAAAGGCGACAAATGTTCCACTGAAATGCCACCTATTTGCCATGATCTTATTGTTAGACGCTTTGAGAGGGTTTAGGGAGTATTTTATTAGTCAACTGTTCCTATATAACTAGATTGCCAAATGAAAGGTACGATTTGAAGCTTCGAGTATCAGTGGCCCTTCACTTTTACCAGTGCGCTTCAAGTCGATGACAATGTTAACCGCTGTCACCAAAAAGAAGGTCTAAATGGCTCAGCTCACGTGAAGGGGTATGGTATCATAATTATTTATTGTATTTATATATCTATAGGCCACAATTGATGAATATTATTTAGGTATAAAGTAAAATTTACCTCATAACTGATGTAGAATACGATTATGGTCTCAGACAGACTAACAAGCGCGACAAATGTTTGTATAAGCCACAGGTATGTATTCCTGCCTACCCAGAACAGGTAGTCACTAAAAAGTCAGACTAATCTGTCCGGTCACAGGTTGGAATACAAATGAACTGACTATTTTATTTCTCCTTCCTTGTAATGATGTTCTGCTGGAAGTAGCCTGGAGTCGTGCACAACTCGTACACAGTACAAAACGCACGAAAGTGTCTTGATGAATACATTGAATAGTCGAATTCGATAGCCTAAAACGATCGCAAGGAACTTGAAGTTTGAAGCCATTTTTCGTTAAATTCTCATAATTCCTTCTCCAGTTCTGATCAACGTTTACTCATAATTTTTTGACTTATTATGAATTTCTGATTGATAATTTCATGATTTTTATTCAAACAAGATTTATGCTATTTTGATTGAATAATTAAATAGTGTTTGTCAACTTTTCACTGTTATTAAGTTACTAACGGTGGTTTGAAATCTTCAAGATTTTCAAATCATTGCAAAATTTTGAGAGTCTCTTCACAAATAAGCGAGTAACGACGTGGAGTGCCACAGTTACCCCAACACCTCCTATAGGTAGTGTCGCGCCAGCTTTGCACCTTACGACTGGTCGAGGTCGATGATCAGTCCCTATCCGAATGCCCGAACCAGAGCTATTCTGCGCTCAATAAGTTTCACAAACCTTATAAAGAAACTGGTATGTATGTATTTTAGACTATTTGAATCATTACACGGGCAAGTGGTGCACTATCACAAACACATGTCACGGATTCGAAGCTCGAAATGATATTCTTCGGGACAACGAAGCTTTCCATCCCTCCAGGGATGGTTATTCGGGACCACACGGTATGGGAGGATAAAAGCACTAACTTGGACGTCAACTGGTCACCACAATTCATTATATAGGCCATATCACACACCTTCAATGCGCCACTACAATTCTGAACTCGGTGGAATGCGGGGCGCATCCTTCAGACGGAACTGGCTAACGTCAAAAAAAAAAACTTCATCCTTTAGAACTGTTTTACCCTATCTAACATTTGCAATTTCATAATGAAGATTTTTTCCAAGAAAAAATTACGCAAAAATTGATCTTCTTACTGGTTATTGAAGATTTTCCTACCACCATCCTTTTTACAACTACTATTTTATACCGTCAGATATGGGTCGCTTACTGATGATTTTTCCCCATCTCATCATTAGAATGTGCCCCAAGACGGTTTTAAGCCCCTCAGATAGATATAAGCCAAATGAGACTTAATCAACGGATCATGGAATCACGACTCAATTTCAAACGTTGTCAAGAGGATAGGTTGAAGCCACAGTCTGGGGCCTGTGGAATGTGATGGATGAGAACCCATGACGATGTCGCAATTCAAGTAGATTGCCGCTCGTCTTAGACGAGTTAGCGTGGGAAAAGAACCAGCAATTTCATCTCAACTGTTTGCCAGATATAATGCGTCAAAGGGGAAGTTCTAATAAGTATAACGAGGTGATTAAATGAACACTCTGAGCTCTGATTCTTCAAACTCGTAATTAACTTGGCTGATTAGTCAGATTGTTGCAGTGCTTCCTGAAAGCACTACTCCGAGGGGTCTTGAATATTATGAGACACATGTTAGGCGAAAAGTTACATATCTGTGATGCAAAAAAGCAAACCAAAAAACTTGCTATTGAAAGAGACGATATAAATAAGTGATAGCTGTGGCTCAGAGTACACATGACCTATGCAAGCACTACATAAAATCTAGGTGTTCAGGAAATGGCTACTGTCAAATTTGTATTGGATTTTCCTTGCCGATGCTTTTGTCAGATCTCAGATGCTTATTTCTTCAACTATTGATTTGAATGATTTTAGATTTAGTTATAATTATAAAGCAGATTATTGTAAGTAGCTATGCGTTGGATTTTACACTTTCGAGCGCTTTATTCACAGATTTTTTTCTAGCTGATTTATTAAAATAGATAATTATAAATCTAAATATAGGTATGGTCATATGCAGTTAAGATAGAACTGTTTTAATTAAAAACAGGTATGAATGCGAGTTTACGGTTCTCAGGATCTTTTCCCTAATTTCTCCTTGCTAATGAACTGAAAAAAAGTAATCATACCTGGGACAGTGTGGAAAGGCATTGCTTCATTAAGTGGGTATCAAAGCTCAGATGGAATGAAGAGGAGTCAT